GGTGCCGTTGCCGGGGATTGAGTTTAGTTTAATTTTATTTCTTGATGCACTAATTCGAACTCAATTTTTATTTTGCTAGCATAATTTTTTTTTATTTTTATTTTAGGTTAATATCCTTTATTTGTGTTTTAGTTATTTAAATTGTTTGAATCTCAGTGCTCGTACTGGTTTTAATTCTCAGATTTGTATGTTACGATTGCCTGGAGGAGTATTAATTTCAGCTGATCCTGAAATTGAGCGCACCTTTCATCGACGACAAAGAGATCACTGCGAAGCACAAGTACAGATGGCCAACGAATTAAACGATCCTATTATTCAAGCTAACGAAGGAGAGGCAGTGGATGAAGGAAATGAAATTCTGGGTGACTTTTTGACTCCTCAAGTTATTCAAAGCCAATCCAGCATTGTATATCCACCATTTGGGTAGCCCAACTTTCAATTGAAAACCAATGTAATACAGCTGTTTCAAAATGGACACCGATTCTATGGCAAAGCCGAGGAGAATCCACACACACACACGTATCTCGATTTTTAGATATGTGTCAACATTTCAGATACCAAGGGATTTCGGATGACGCTATTAGATTAAGGCTTTTTCCACATATGTTACGAGATAGAGCACTTGAATGGTTGGATTCACTCTCGATTGCAAGTATCACTACATGGAATGAGCTGGCACACAAATTCTGCACAAAGTTCTTCTCCCCAACCAAGATAGCGAAGCTGAGATATGATATATCAGTATTCAATCAAGGAGAGAATGAATCATTTGACGAAGTCTGGAACATATTTAAAAATATGCTCCGGAAATGCCCTCAGCATGGGTTCAATAAAAAGACCCAGATTCCATTCTTCTACACAGGATTACTTCCATACCATAAGAGCATGGTGGATTCAGCATCAGATGGCTCAATATCCACAGGAACAGTTGACAGAGCATTGGAATTATTTGAGCGAATGGCTACCATAGCAGCCATGTGGTCTTCTGAGAGGGCGATCCCAAAGAAAACTCCAGGTGTCTACGAGGTGAACGCTTATTCAGCAATATCTGCAAAAAATTGACTCTCTGTATCATAAGGTGGAAAGCATATCACAAGCATCAAAAGCTAAGAAGAGCAATTGTGAGGAATGTGGAGCCGAGCACAAAACATCAGATTGCCCAATACTCATGCAAGGAATTGAGCAAGCAGATTATGCACAATGGGGACAACGCCAGCAGCATAATCAATATGGAGAGACTTTTAATCCCAACTGGAAGAAGCATCCCAACTTCTCTTGGAGAAACCAGAATCAGAATAAGCCACAGGGGCAATTTCAACAATAGGAGAAGAGGCCTCAATTGGAAGATATGATAGGAAAATTCATGGAGAAGGCCGAAGCTGCACTTCAAAATCAAAATGCAGCTATCAAAAATTTGGAAACTCAGATGGGGCAGCTAGCCATCGCATTGACTGGCAGAACACCAGGTAATTTACCAAGTAATACAGAAATCAATCCTAAAGAGCAAGCCAATGCCATTATAACTCGAAGTGGAGTGCAACTACCTAAAATCCATGTCAAGAGATCGGGTGTGATTGGAGAAACATCTTCCTCCGTTGAAAAAGAGACTGTTATAAAGGAATCAAGTTCAAAGGAAAATTCAGAAGAATCACAAGATAAGGCCAAAGTCACAGTCAACCCCTACGAGCCTCCGATTCCTTTTCCATAGCGCTTGAAGAAGCAAAAAGTGGAGCAATAATACAAAAAATTTCTAGAAATATTCAAAAAGCTCCATATCAACATCCCACTAGCTGATGCACTGTTCCAGATGCCTAGCTACGCGAAATTTCTGAAGGATATCATATCAAATAAACGCAAGCTGGAAGACCATGAGACAGTTATGCTTACGAAGGAATGTAGTGCTAGAATCCAGAATAAGCTTCCACCAAAACTAAAAGATCCAGGGAGTCTTATTGTTCCTTGCACAATCGGTGAAGTATATTTTGATAAAACATTATGTGACCTCGGTGCAAGTTTTAATTTAATGCCTTTGTCTGTTTTCAGGAAACTCGATTTGGGAGAAGCTAAAGCAACCACTGTGACACTTCAGTTGGCTGACAGGTCACTGACACACCCCAGAGGTATAATTGAAGATGTGCTTATCAAGGTTGAGAAGTTCATATTCCCAGCAGACTTTCTTATCCTGGACCCCAGCGGACTTTCTTATCCTGGACATGGAAGAGGACAAGGACGTCCCATTGATACTTGGCAGACCATTTCTGGCAACAGGGAGAGCGTTAATTGATGTTCAGAGAGGTCAGTTGATTTTAAGATTGGGAGAGGAGCAGATATCATTCAATGTATTCAAGGCAATGAAACTACCAGCAGAATCTGACAGCTGTTATCAAGTTGACATTATTGACAAGGTAGTATAAGAAACATTCTTACTATATGGTCCATCTGATGCCTATGAGGCATGTATTGCACAATCCCAATCAATCCAGTCAGAGTCTTTTGAAGTTAAAACATGTGCAAGATTTTTGGAGACCACCCCGCCATACACTCGAAAGAGGCACTTCGAGGAACTGGGGACAGGAAACATAAAGCCACTACCTTCTGTTCAGTAGCCACCAGTTCTGGAACTCAAGCAATTACCACCACATCTCAAATATGCATATTTGGGGGAGTTAGATACACTTCCAGTAATCATTTCGAATACAGTCAGTGAGGTGGAGGAAGAAAAACTGCTCAGGGTACTCAGAGAGAACAAGATGACGATTGGGTGGACAATAGCTAACATTAAAGGAATCAGCCCTTCTCTGTGCATGCATAAGATTCTAATGGAGGAAAATTGTAAGCCAAGTATAGAGGGTTAGAGAAGATTAAATCCGAACATGAAGGAAGTGGTCAGGGCAGAGATATTGAAATTACTGGATGCAGGAATTATTTACCTAATTTCAGATAGTGCATGGATTAGCCCAGTTCAAGTGGTACCGAAAAAAGGGGAAATCATGGTGGTGAAAAACGAGAAGAATGAATTAATTCCCACCATAACAGTTACGGAATGGAGAGTTTGCATCGACTATCGCAAGCTCAATGCAGCCACACGAAAGGATCATTTCCCCCTCCCATTTATCGATCAGATGTTAGAAAGATTGGCTGGACATTCACATTACTATTTCCTAGATGGATACTCGGGCTATAATCAGATACCTGTCGCATCAGAAGATCAGGAGAAGACCACTTTCACCTGTCCCTATGGTACTTTTGCTTATTGTAGGATGCCTTTTGGTCTTTGTAACGCCCCAACCACATTTCAGAGGTGTATGATGGCAATATTCTCCGATATGATTGAAAGGTTTATTGAAGTTTTCATGGACGACTTCTCAGTGTTTGGGTCCTCATTCGATGAATGTTTAGAGCACCTAAATTTGGTCTTACAGAGATGCAAGGAGACTAACCTGGTTTTAAATTGGGAGAAATGCCACTTTATGGTGCAAGAAGGCATTGTACTCGAGCATTGAATCTCAGCAAAAGGAATTGAGGTGGACAAGGCAAAAATTCAAGTTATTGAGAAGTTACCACCACCTATATCAGTTAAAGGAGTTCGTAGTTTTTTGGGGCATGCGGGTTTCTACAGGAGATTTATAAAAGACTTCTCGTAGGTCACTAAACCGTTATGCAATCTGCTAATGAAAGACGTCACCTTTGAGTTTAATGAAGAATGCCTCACAGCAGTCAACACCTTAAAGGAGAAGCTTACGACAGCACCAGTAATTGTGGCACTAGACTGGGAACTCCCTTTTGAATTGATGTGTGATGCAAGTGATCACGCCGTTGGTGTAGTATTGGGACAACGGAGAAACAAAATCTTTCACGTAATATACTATGCAAGTAGGACTCTTAGTGAAGCGCAAATCATCTATGCCACCACTGAAAAGGAGCTATTGGCTGTAGTATATGCATTCGACAAATTCAGGTCATATCTTGTCGGGTCTAAAGTTATAGTCTACACAGATCATGCTGCATTAAAGTATCTACTCACGAAGAAGGATGTAAAGTCGAGGTTGATTCGTTGGGTGCTATTGCTGCAAGAATTCGATATCGAGATACGAGACAAGAAGGGCAGCGAGAATGTAGTAGCGGATCACCTATCCCGATTAGAGCCTGGGGGGACAAATGAATTAGTGAACATCAATGAGATCTTCCCAGATGAGCAAATGTTGAGAGTAGATGAAGCACCTTGGTATGCAGATATCGTCAATTACTTGGCCAGTTCCATCCCACCACCGGACTACTCGAGTCACTAAAGGAAAAAGTTCTACGTCGAATTGAAGTATTATTTTTGGAAGGACCCAATTCTCTATAGTCGGGGGGCTGATCAGATAGTAAGGAGATGCATACCTGAGTAAGAAGTACATAAGATTCTCGAGCACTGCCATTCGTCTGCTTACGCAGGGCACTTTGAGGCTTCAAAAATAGTTGTAGAGACACATTTGAGTTTGTTAAGAGGTGTGACAGATGTCAACGCACTGGGAATATCTTGAGGAGGAATGAAGTGCCACTGAACAACATTTTGGAAGTGGAGATATTTGATGTTTGGGGAATCGACTTCATGGGACCTTTCCCCCCCTTTGTTCTCAAATCAATATATCTTGGTGGCAGTGGATCACGTATCAAAATGGGTGGAAGCAGTTGCATTGCCAACAAATGACTGAAAGGCAGTAATTGGATTCTTGAAAAAATACATTTTTACCCGATATGGTACACCACGGGCTATAATCAGCGATGGGGGCAAGCATTTCTGTAATCGTCAGTTTGAGCAATTGCTAAATAAATATGGCGTTAAACACCGCGTTGCTACTCCATATCATCCACAAACCAGCGGGCAAGTTGAGGTATCTAATCGGCAGCTGAAGAGAATACTAGAAGTCACTGTGAATTCATCTAGAAAGGATTGGCCTAAAAAGTTGGACGATGCATTATGGGCTTACAGAATTGCATTCAAGACCCCGATAGGCATGTCTCCATACTGCCTAGTCTTTGGGAAGGCGTGCCATCTGCCACTAGAAATGGAGCACCGAGCATACTGGGCTATGAAACAGTTGAATATGGACTTGAGCGTTGCCGGTGAAAAGCGCCTGCTGCAACTTAATGAGTTAGATGAGTTTAGAATGGAAGCTTATGAAAATTCAAAACTTTACAAGGAACGAACAAAGAAATGGCACGACATGCATATTCAGAGGCGAGAGTTTGAAGTGGGGCAGAAAGTGCTATTGTATAACTCAAGACTCAAGCTTTTCCCAGGAAAACTAAGATCAAGGTGGTCGAGTCCTTATACTGTCACGAAAGTTCTACCATGTGGGGCTATACAAGTGAGCCACGAGACTAAGGGTACCTTCACTGTTAATGGGCAAAGACTAAAACACTACTGGGGCGGTGATTTCTCCAACCAAAAGTCCACCATTCAACTCGAGATGCCAGAATGAAGCAGCTACAGAAAAGTCGAGCTATCGATTATAACCTAGCACTTGGTGGGAGGCAACCCACTGTATCCTTTTCATTTAATTTATAATGCTCTCTGCACTTAGATTAGAAATTATTTTTGTTTCAATTTCATTTTACATTTTCTTTATGTGGTCATCGATCATCCATACAAGTTAAACGAGTCCAAGCACTGTACACACGAGTCGGGTTGATTGGAGTAGTTTGGGAGATTGGGTGTGAAACTCACGCATTTTGAGAAAAATTTTGTTTTCTAAATTTCACATGTCAATTATTTATTTAAAAAAAAATATTTCCATGCGGTCGCACAGTGCGACCGTACATATACCATCCGAGAATCAAGTGGCCAAAGCCACTTGAACCATGCGATCGTAGGGGCTAAAGCCATGTGGCCGCATGGCAATAATAAGGCGTGGGTTTTTAAACCCACGCCCGGTTTTTCCTCTCTTTTTCATACATTTTTCCCAAACTTCTCTCCCGACCACACTCACCTAGCGCACGATTTGGGCTAGCATCACATATTCTACACAAGAACCTCATCATTGCATTGTAATAACATCGAAAGGAAATCAACTTTCCACCTCCATTTAACCCTACAAACACAAGGTACATATTCTTACACCCCTCTCAATTCCGTTTTCGGGTTTTCATGATTGGAATTTTAATTTTGGCGATTTGAGGGAGATTAGGCTAGTTCATGTGTGTATGGATTTGTTGTGATTATGTTGTGGAAATTTTGGAATGATTCCTACATTCAATTCTTTACAATGGTAGCATCTTCACTAATGCACACCAAGTGTTTGCTTAAATGCCACAATACCCTTGTATGTGAAATTAAATGCCTTTTGCATATACATTGTTTCACCAACATGGCATCCGATGTATTTCAACGATTTCCCGATTAATTTGAACTAGATAACACCCACTTTCACATTGCACCACATAGGCACATGACTAGGTCACCGGACATCACGGCAACCTCCGTCCCCTATTTTGCATCTTCATTTAACACACCAAACAACCTCCAATTGATTTGAAATTTGAACATGTGCTACACTTCAATGAATGTTTTGATATGCCCGGAGATTGTTCGGGAAAATTTTGCTAATTCTCAATGATGTCAAGGGCCGAAGGTGGGCACTCGATCATGGTTCCGTATTCTGAAATATTGATTAGATACACCTAATCTTTCCCCTTTTTTTTTCTTATTGGCAAATTACGTAAATTCAACTAAACATTAATGCTTGCTACGTGCACACCATATTACTACACATGTATCTAGGAAAGTTTGGGGAATTTGTGCAATGCTTACTAGCTTAGTAAATTGTTCTCATTTCTTGCCTATGCTTTCCACATCGACTTAATGAGTATATTCCTACAAACTTTGCAGGATGCCTCCAAAAAGAACGATGCGCAGGAAGGAAAAGGTAAGCTCATCCACAGGAACAGCCCGTACTCGAGAGCTCGCAGACGAAATTCAACGATTCCTAACCGAAATTACCGCGGCACGATATGAAAACATCGTACGCCATTGGACTTTGCATGCTGAAAGACCGGTTAAGTTTGATGACTTCCCAGGGTTTGAGTTGGTCAATTTAATTCAGCTCTGTGGATGGCAAAAGTTAGTAGAGAGATCGCATCCACTCTATGAGATCTTATGCTGAGTGTTCTTCGCTAACTTCATCAGTGAAATTGACACGCCAGGCTCGGACCATTTCCATCAGACTTGGGTGCGGGGAAAATGGATTATGTTCTCTCCTGAGGTCATTCATGACTACTACCAGCTTACCATGGAGAATGTGGTCCCCCTCCCAATTGACTTTAACTGGAATGAGGTGGCCGAGGTTTTAATGGGGCGAGAGAATGCATGGCCTCTCGACACTACCGAGTGGCATCAGATTGAGCTTACTCCTTCCGTGGCCATTCTATGGCTCTTTATGTGCCACAATGTTGAGCCGATATCACACAGGACTACATTCCCAGATAAGACAGCAGGTTTCATTTACCACTTGGCTCGAGGTAACAAAATTGATCTCGCCACTCATGTATACAATCAACTGCACTCATTGGGGACTTAGAGGGATCGACGCTCCACTTTGATATTCCCGAGCCTCATTAGTGGCATATGTTGGGCTGCGGGTGTTGCTCTCTTACCTGAGGAGTTACCTAAAAAACCCAGCCCAATGATCAAAAGAACTACATTTGACGCTCAGACAAGCGCTCGGATTAAGCACGAGGAAGAACAGGAAAACAAGCGACGTAGGCAGCAGGCAGAACAAGGTCAAATCCCTGACGTTCAGGACCACCCACGGGCTCCAGCCCCACTAGCTGAAATGGATAATCAGTTGCTGAGACAGATTTTCTCCACCACTACGGGCATTAGCCGAGACCTTCACAGCTTCTTTCAAGATTTTGGTAACATGAGGACTGAATTAGGAAACTTACAAAGGGACAATCACCTTGCATTGAACTACATCAGAGATGCTAGGGATCATGCTACAGTCATGCGATGGGAGGTTGATACTATGAATGGCCGATTGAACATGTTTGTTGGCCGGGTGGACGGTATCCAGATGAGGGTGAATGAAACTTGGGAGACCATGAGAGATATCCAGGCCGAGCAGATACAGCAGTCTACCTTGATGCGAGAAATGAATGAGATGATGCAGCAGCTCCTCGGACGACACCCCCTCTGTCGGATGATGGTACAGCAGGACCCAGTTTCCCACCACCTCATCCGTTTTGATTCAAGGGAAGTACTATTTACCACATTTTGGATTTTCATTTTTATGTAGTCCGTAAAATTATGTCTTTCATCTTTTGTTAATTTTACATTGAGGACAATGTAGTAACAAAGTTTGGGGAGGTGACATAATTTTAACTAAGTATCTGTATTATCTGTGTTCATCGGTATGTGTGCATGAAAAAAAATTTGCATTTTATTCATTTTTGTTCTAACTCTTCTTATGCATGCTTGTGTGGGCTGGATAACTTTGCTAGCTATGATGTTACAATTGGGCTATGATGTTAAACTGCAAAATCTTTGGATCTAATACAATTAGGTTATCTGATACTTGTTGATGCAAAACTTGACATTATTTGTGCACACTATTCATGTTTGACATATTAGATAAATGACTGAATTTTGAGCATAAAATAGAAAAAGAATGATAACCCTCTATTAAATTAAATTGTAAACTACCTTAAGATAGTTTGGTGATGGCTGAACTATTGTAAGGGAGCATTAAGATGAGTGGAGGCTCCGTGCATGAATTCTATTGTGTGGATTGCCTAGACCAATGGGGTGAAGATTAGATGAAAATCTTAAATTAGAGGTTAGTTTTGGAAACTAAATGTCTAGAATAATAAGGGCATAAAATAAATTTGTGAGAACAATACACTTCTTTTCATGCATTTATGACTCGAGCAAATAAGCCTGTAAGGATATTTCAAAATCTGGTGCCCTAAAGTCAACTGGCTTGGGAGTCACCGGCCTAAAGCTCGCTAAAAGGATCATATAGAAAGCAAGAGGGAAAGAGGTTAATTGAAAATCATCTGATCGAGCCTTTATAACTCGAGTGAATAAGCCTGCAAAAGTTTAAAACCAGGTGCCCTAAAGCCAACTGGTTTGGGAGTCACCGGCCTAAAGTTCGTTACATGGGTTATATAGAAAGCAAATGAGAAGATGGTAAATAAAAAAATAAAAAAATAAAAAAAATCATAAAAATTAGAGAAAAGTGAGAAAAACAAAAGAGAGACAATAACATGAAGAAAAGCCCTTGGACATTTGGTTGAAGAAACTATACCTTTGAGGCGAGACAAGTAACCTAGTTTAATCTTGAGTGTCGAAGCAATCAAATTTAGGAGAGCCTTCACTTGTTGAATTGTAAACTTGTGATAGTGAGATTAATCCAAACTACGAGAGGGTGAGGACTACAGCTATGTAAACCCCTAATTTTAAAAACACAATCCCGGGATAATTGTGTGAAAATAATAAGTTTGGGTGGTTGTGTATCTCTCGAGCGAGTAAGGTTACATTTGACCACTTGGGTCGGGACTCAAACCCATCACGAATCTAATATGTTGGCATGAACTCACACACACACACGTCCAGTGCGCATTTAACAGACGGAGGTTGATGCCATTAATCTTTTTGCACTGATATATCTTCATCAAATCGAACACTTAGTCCAATCCTGAGCCGTAGCAGGGTATTAAGCCATGTTTGTTCAGAATTTAATCACTATCTTGTTTGAGGACAAACAATAGTTCAAGTTTGGGGAGTTTGATAAGTGTGTTTTTGCACACTTATTTAGGTCACAAACATGACTTAATTACGAATAAAATGATTGAATTTTGACTTAATTTCATTACATTTGTGAATTGTAGGTAACACCGATGGACATGGTGAAATACATGAGAAAAGATGAGAAAAAGGACTAAAATGACACAAAGTGAAAGTTCAAGGACCAAGGTGCAATTACTCAAAAGTTGACCTGATGGACAAATCAAGAAATTGAGTTTGCCAAATACGAATTGATGACATTTTGGGATGATGGAATGTGAAGAATGAAGAAAAGATGTAAAGAAGTGGAAGATTAAGTGAAATGACCAAATTGTAGGAATTGAAAGTTCAACTCTACCATGCGGTCGCATGGTAGAAACGTCGTGCGGCCGCACGAAGTGATGCAGGGATTTAGAATGAAAAAAGAGGATAACCATGCGGCCGCACGGATTAAAACCATTCGGTCGCATGGTACAAATTCAGTGTGAAAATTTTCCTTTCCTTATACGATTGAAATACCTATGGTAACCTAATTTTCCACGAGATATAAATATCAAAAACATTCCAGAGATGCCCAAAACGTAATTGGAGGCCGAAAAACAATTCTTGAAGAGGATTTGAGCGCAAGAACAAAGATTGACACGAAGAACTTCAAGATTTATCCAAGTTTTATAACCCGGTGATGTCTTATATACAAAC